AGAACTTAATTGCTTTTAGTAATTTAATGTATAATTTTCGCCAATTAATTATATGGGAAAAAGACTTATAATTTAACTTATATTGGAAATTATTTTATAATTTTTCATTGTGTATAATTTCCTTCACGGTTAGAATAGTTATATCATTTTATAAGGACTTCACCAAATATATATATTTTATAATTTTTAAATTTAACTTAATTTTTTACTTATTTAATTACCATATATTCATCGATCATAAATTAAATTTATAAACAAAACATTGATAGAAATGAGCATTGACTAATTTTTTCATTACTTATTGTATTGAAAAACATAATATTTCGCTTGCCACGTAAAAATGTTTTCTTCATTCTATTTCATAAATTCATATTTACGTGCATTTTTTTTAATAAAATACATAAAGATTAGTTAATAAAAATAAAAACAAAATAATTTTTGGTAAAACACAAAAGTAATATGTTGAGATTTAAAAAAAAAAAAAACTTAAACTTTAATTAATTTCACTCTTTCTAAAAGAAATAATTTAAAATATCTTTAAATAGCTTTACATCAAATTTAAATTTTCTAAAAATAATCTACTACTGTTTAATAAATAAATATAAGTCGAATCTCATAAAAGATAAATTTCTACTAATAACATTATTTTTTAAAAAAATAAACATGTTCTAAATTTAATATAGATAAATTATATTTAAATTTAAACTAATAAATAAAATAAATTATAATTTCTATATTTATTTTCAACATAACATTTCATAATTTTATAATTTTTAGTGATTTTTTTATTGTTAATTGATTTGTATAATTTTATGAATAAAATGCAAATATCTTAAAATAAAAACAAAAGTGTAACATTTCGGAACTTAAAAAGAAAATAAATTATAAATTGAATGCAGAAGCGAAATAATAAAGTTAGAATTTACATTACTTACATAATAATTCTGAATACGCAATAGGGTTACGTGAATGACAATTCTAAAATAATAAATAAAAAATTAAATAAATAAATAGAAAACAAACAACTTGACATCCTATTCGCAACTCTCTTGTGAATCGGGATCTGAATATTAATTTTCTTGATCTAAAATAGTTAATAAAATAGTGAGTTACACTAACCTAATAAAATTGTCACATTACTCACCGATACAAAAATGAATATTGGTACAAATTATAAAAATAACTAATTGAGTTTTTAATTTAATTAAATTTATTTATCATAAATAAGATTATTTATTACATACTTACCGTAACGAGATTTTCAAAACCGACCTACAGAGGTAATAACACAAATAACATCATAATTTCATTTTTAATTAGCCAGAACAATAACTTTTCATTTTTATTTGCATATTGGTATCTATTAGAGTCTATAGGGATATCCCCACTACGCGTGAACCCTTATTCAAGATTGTCAACTAATTGGTCGTCCTCGTACCCCGTCTGATATGAGCATAAAAAATACCATCCCTCAATACTCTATATGGTATGAGGGTGAAACGGTCCGTCCCCATACCTCGTCCGGTATGAGGCAATATTCACGGTAGGGTTCTCTATCTACGTGGTCAATCTACTATCTCCTAGGATATTCAGTAAGGTTACCATTTATTTATTCACTTAATCAAACAAATTTTCATTTTCATTTAATTTTCAATTTCACAATTTAACTGTAAATCACGCAAAACAAATAATACATGCATCAAAAAAATACAACCGAATCATCTTACCAACTCTAATGTATTATTATACATTCAAAACTATAAAATTAATCAATTAGTTAAAATAGAATAAACAATAATAAATAACTTATTCCGACTCCATCAGTAACATGTAATTAATCATCAAAATTTTTTAAATTACGCAAAATACCGTATTATTTATAATTAGACTTCAATTATATAACAAGAAATAAGGTGAGAGATTCTTACTCTAATCGGTATCCTAAACACTAAACTTTCAGCTGCGCTTACTGGCGGTCCCCGAATTTCCTGAATTTTTATTCAGAGATTAAAATACGCTTTAAATACATACAAATACCCCCAAAAACCCAAAATTAGTGTTAAAAATATTTTCTGGCTAATTTCAAAATTTCGGCACGACAATCGTGCTCCAGTGATATCACTGTTGCCCGCATCACCGCCGTGTTCCAGAGACGACACCGCCACCCACGACGGTGGTTTCTTCATACAGAGACGACACCGCCACCCACGACGGTGGTTTCTTCATATTGGCCGTTTTCAGGCAGTTTTAGTCGATTTCGACTGGTTTTATACTCATCCATGCGAGAAAATACGTTAAGAGGTTTCAGTTGGCCAAAAAAAGTTAAAAAACAAAAATTTACCAGCGACGAAATTTTTCGGTGCGACGGCTCTGCCGATTCACTTTCATGGTTGGAGGTTTTTCTTCGGTCAACCTGTACAAAAAAGAATTGTGATTACAATTGTGAAAAAATCGCATGAAATAGGAATCGAGAAGGAGCTCATCGGATGCGGTTTTTTGTTTTTCATGCGGCACCGCCGCCGAATTTTACTCGCAGTTTCTAGCTCATCCATCGGTCATTTTGCTATGATTTGGTCATGGGGGTATTCAAAATTAAATTTCAAGCAAGTTAACATTTTTTTAACTTTTTTGGTGGTCGGAGGTGGCTCCGGTGCAGCGGCGGGAGGTGGTTGGCTCCCTTCTCCGGCGACTGGTTCTCATTCTCTGGCGGGGGACTGACGGTTAAGGTTAAGGTTCAATGTGAAGTGAAGTATTTATATCCGTTTCCCTTTAATCTGGTTGTTCATCGCGTTTGATCTTGACTGTACGATCACGTTTAAAAAGAAAATGAATCTGAACCGTTTATCGCATTTAATTGCGACTGTCCGTTTGCGCCTGATGAAGGAATGGATCCGAACCGTCCACAAACCCGGGAACAAATCCAGACCGACTGATCCCGAACACATGGATTGCAAGCGTGACCTCCCGCGTGCGGCATGCTCCGATTTGTCGGGGTTGCTAACTGGGTGGTATTAGTGATACATTTTTTTAAAATTATGTTTTAACTATCAGTTTCTGATTTTTCTTTCAAAAATACTATTCGAATCCAAATTTTCACCAATTTCTCTTAAAATTATTTTCAATTTTATCATCCACCTATTTTTTCTAATTTTACATTAAATAAAAATTTATAAAATTAAAAATTATATTTTTATATGTTTATTTTTTAAAAAAATTAATCCCGTACCAAATCTCTTACCCGGACATTACAGAAAGACAATTTACCAAATGAAATAAAAATTCAAAATTGTTGATGGAAACATAATGATAAGTATATATTTGTGGGGAAACTAATTCAATGACACATTTTCAGTAATGTCTTGTTAGAGAAAAGAGACAAATTGTCAATGATCCATAGCTATTTTGCTACGTTTCACCATGGGCAAGTAAAGTTGAATGGGCCAAGTACGTAGGCTCAGGCCGAACCGTGATTGGAAAGCAACATTGATTCTCACCATCATGATTCTTGTAATTGCATTACATGGCGGCTGTGAGGATCTGATGCAATACGGAGAGGTCCACCCAATGCATTTCCCAACCCTCGTGCTGACCGTCTGATTCGTAGAATCTCCTTGATTAGTCATCTCTTTACGTCTCCTTTTTGCTCCAGCATTGCATATGTAGAATAAATTCGGAATTCAATTTTAATTTATGATAAATTTATTTTGATATTTTAGATAATATAATTTAGAAAAAATGAATTAGGAACAATCCAATAAAAAAAATTTATGTTATAAAATTTTTAAACAAAAAAATAATAATTGTAATTTTTAAACAAAAATGAACATAAATTAAAATAATAATTTATAATTATAAGAATATAAAATATCATTAATTAATAAAAAGAATTAAATTAAAAATACGTTATAAATTGAATTAATTTAAATTAACGAACAATTTTAATGATTTTGTAAATTATGGTGGTTTTTATAATAGTTTAATAATAATTTTAATTACTAGTAATACTATTAATATTTAGAAAAACTATTTTTTATATATATATTTATCTAGAGTTATTGCTTTAAAATAGTCAACAGATGATGTGATATATTGTCCTCCTACCAACTAACGTGGTGATTATTACTTGTTCTTATCACCGTTGAAGACAACTACAATATATATAGATACATATATATATATATATTTGTATACTGGAGATTTTTCTAGACAATAAATACAGGATATTATTATTTTTTGTACTTTAGTAGTTTTGTTTAAATATATTTTTTTAGTAGTTTCCAGCATATGCTAAATTTATTTTCTAAATTTTAAAATAAATTACTTCGAATAAAAATTATGTTTATCAATAACCTACATTTTATGATGTTATTGTATTATAAAATGTATATATTACTAATAATACATATTGGTCGTACGTTAGAGATGTAACTTAAAATATTATAAATTAAAGTAATTTATTATAATAATTATTAAAAATGTTATAATTAAAACTAATATTATTATTTATATTGGTACGTAAAAATTAAATTAATTATATAATTTTGACATATTTGTATTAATTGAAGCACAGTTATTTTTCATGGACATTGACGTATATACGTCAAATGCATAATTTGAAATATGTAAATTAAAAAAATTAGAAATAGTATATAATGTATATATTAATTAAATTAATTATATATCATTTGAATGTTATATAATATACAATATATATAATAAAATTAATTTAATTGGTAAAAAAGTACAACTAATTAATTAGTTAATTGCATAAATAATTAATACTATTTGATGATATGATTAATTGTATGTGTGTGTATATACATACATATATATATATATAAGATAAGATGTTTAATAATTGTCTTATAATTCTGAAATTATATTTAATTTAGCCCTAAAATACTACTCCAGTACTATAATCTCTCTGTTGTATATGCATAATTTCAAAAAAATATGAAAAGGATGAAGTTAATTAACCTGAAATCAAAAGCTCAAGGAATACATCCACAGAAGACGAAGAAGAAGCAGAGCATGGCGGCCAAAGCCAATGACTCCAGCGCCCCGACGAAGCTCCATAAAACATCGTCGACGACTATTGAGAACTCCGACCATCGGATGAGCCTCCGCAAATTCCATCCCGCCGAAATACTACTCCAGTACTATAATCTCTCTGTCGTATACGCATAATTTCAAAAAAATATACATAGAAAGTTAAGACGAAAGTAAGAATTTGAAAAGGATGAAGTTAATTAACCTGAAATCAAAACCTCAAAGAGTACATCCACAGAAGACGAAGAAGAAGCAAAGCATAGCGGCCAAAGCCAAGGACTCCAACGCCACGACGAAGCTCCACAAAACATCGTCGACGACTATTGAGAACTCCGACCACCGGATGAGCCTTTGCAAGTTCCACGTCGCCGATCTAAAGTAGGAGAAATCGAACGCCGGCCACCGGAATATCCACGTCGGTAAGGAGAGATCGAACTCCAGCCACCTGAAAGCTGACATAGTCAGCCGTGGACAAATGGATTAGCTTGTCGGTGAGAGTGAAAGCCGATCTTATTCAACCATTTAATTGAAATATATACGGATCTTCCCTGAGTAATTATTTTTGGGATTTTTCTTTGTACCTGTGTATATATATATATGGCGTGAGTTGGTTTAATCTGCTAGGTATGTACACGTGTTGGATTTTGACAGTTGGCACTACTGAGAAGATGATGACGTGGAAAAAATAAATATAATAAAAAATAATATTTTCCTATACAGTTAAATTAATTAGTTCCCAACACCTAAAATTTCGGCCAGACGTCAAAAGTCATATTTAGTAAAATAAAATAAAAAATTTAACGCCATTATTTGTGGGTTGTAAAGTATGGAATGATTATGGAATATATAATTTATTATTTATTATTATATCATGATATTTATTATAATGTTTTTTTATATATAAGTACTAATTTTTAGATATCTACAAATACTATATAAATATATTTGTTGTTATTATAATTATTAAACAATGAATGATGACGTAATAAATAATAATCAGATAATTGAAAAAAGATTTGATTAATTACAAAGTTCTTCCCCATGTGATGGACTTCAGTGAAGGAAAGGAATGGATGGAGGCCTATAAAACAAGGGAAATTGGGCCGTTAAAAACATTTTAAAAAGGGGCTTGATTTAAATTAAAAAAACGGGTCGGGTTGGTTTGGGTCCAACTGAAATATTCGAGAACGCTTAACCCTACCCGAACCCTATTATTCTTGGCACGTGACAATCAGCTGATTGTAGAGGCAAAATGCATAAAGGCATCAGCACCCGCGCCGCGACCCGCAAATACTCCATGACCATAAAATCACATCAATCTCGAACGAGAACCGTCCGATTTCCTTCCACGTCATCAATCCGCGTGAATCTTACTTTCAACGGCTTGGATTATAGTTGCAGGAGCTACTGGTAGAACGAACCGAGCTCGTCCCAATTCTCGCCCATCTCTCTATCTCTCTCCCCCTTCCCTCCCCTTTCTCGACATATCTGTCTCTTGTTCAATTTACTCGTTCCTGGAAAAAAAAAATTGTTTTTCTCGATAGCTTCCTTCCAGTTGCATCAAGAGATGAAGTCCAAGGAGGAAGAAGAGAGAGAATTCGTAGAGCAAAACGGAATTCCGGTTGTGAACTTGGAAGAAGAAAGCGATGAAGAAGAAAGCGAATCGAAGGATGTAGTAGAACTAGAGGAAGAAGAAGAAGACGACGATGGTGATGACGACGACGGCGAGGAAGACAGCGACGACGATGACGATGAGGAGGAAGGTGAGGAAGAAGATGTCGGTGACGTGCAAGCTGTCCACTCTGGTGAACCCCTGGTCCATTCAGTTGACGACGACGACGAAGATGACGACGACGACGATGAGGTCGACGATGACGATGACGACGACGATGGAGATGGCGATGGAGACGGTGAAGGTGATGATAACGATGACGATAGTGAGGGGAACGAAGACGAAGAGGACGAGGAAGCGAAAGAAGAGGTAAAAATCTGAGGTTTTTAGTTTTTTGTATATACAAAATTTCCTTGCAATACTTTGATATGCTGCAAATTATTAGGGTTAAAATCTGAAGATTTTATGCTTTTGATAATCGATTTTATGATTCGTATATGGAAAAGTATGTATTTGCTCGTATGTTAGTCTGATTTAGTTTTTATCTGTTAAAATCTGAAGATTTTATGCTTGTGATAATCGATTTTATGATTTGTATGTGGAAAAGTATGCATTTGATCGTATATTAGTTTGATTTCGTTGTTATCTGTTAGAAATCAAGGTCTATACTAGTTTTGTGGCTTACTTCATCTTGATTTACCTATCCTGTCGTCTTCTCTGGGTGCATATCTTGGAGATCTTAAGCTTTTCTACCATAATCTGCCGTTTTTTCATTTCTAATAACCGTATTCATGAATTTGTGTTCTAGCATACTTGCATAGAAATTTATGTTTTCCCTTAAATTTTCATTTTGTCTCATTTGATTTTTTTACTGGAGAGTGTTATGGGCCTTATGGCTATGACCTAGCCTAGATCTGATGTATATACTTATTGTGGTCTTTAAATAGATTATGCTGATGTAGAAGATTTTCTTGTAATTATATTTTGCTGATATTTAGGGTTCTTAGTTATTATCTTGGTTTATGTGCTTATCATGATAAAAAAATATTTGGAACTTTTGTATTGCAAAGATTTAAAGATCAAACGAAGTACCATGGCTGTTCTTGTTATCCTTTTCTTGTTTGTTCTTTGGGTAAAAAATCCCAAACTGACCTGAAGTGGCCTAGTGTTTCTGTACCAAAACTATTATCCATTTGTCTGTTTTGCTAGTGGTCACAGTGCTATCGTTTTTATTTTTAGGCATGTCCTATTTCTAATGGTCTGGAGAGACATTGTCTAGGGAGATTACTTCAGGGATCCAATGTTATAATGCTAAGGATCTGAAATTATGTTTCTTGTCCATAGTGTAATAGTTGGTTTTGGGTCTACAGAGAACATTGTATTCTGTATATTGTCTAGACTTTAGTAGTTGTTCACTCTTCCTTTACAGGTAATTTGTCTTTCGTGTGGTGCTTTGGTGGATGGAGTTCCCCATAATCTAACTAAAATTTGTTACTTTGCCTCAGTCATCTGAGATAATATCAAATTTGCATTCTAATGTGTCATGCTTGCAATTGTTAGAACTTAGAGAAGTGTTTTAAAATGTGATCCAAGTGCTTTATTACAGATATTTAGCATTTGGTATTTTCTTCACTCTGATATCACTTTGTAGATCTTATGTTTTACCACCAAAAAAGAATTAAACTTCTGTTAATCTAATGAATTTCCAATTACAAGACTGGATAGTCTTGTGCTTTGTTTGGTAGCCGAGAAAACGTAAGAGCAAAATGGAGGTAGAGTCTAAATTTTATTGCCTTAATTTGTTCTTGTTTTTGTGATGATAGCATTGCCATTCGTCTTTCATTGTTTTGTTGGCATGATTTCTCGAAAATCTTACATTTTTTTTTTTATGTCATAGTCATAGTCATAGTGGTACTGTATAAGCTGTTAATTTTTCCACCTATATATCTATATTCTATATGTAGGAGGATCTGGCAACAGAATACTTTGTCAGGCCTGTAGGCCGCGCTAAAGACGAGGAAGATGGCAGTGATTTTGAGGCAGAAGGGAGTGTTGAAGATATTTATGAAGATGATGAGGATGAGGATGATGAAGATGCTGGTATGGTGGAGGATCCTCCAAAGAGAAGAGGTCAGATAGGGATGATTCCGATGATGATGACGATGGTGGAGAGGATGATGAGAGACCATCCAAGCGATAGGGCCTTGGATTTTGAGGAATGACCATTGATGCATAGGTCAATCTCTCTCCCTCTCTCCTACACCATTTCCTTCTTTGCAGAAAGAAGGATAAGGTGCTTTATGCATGTTGGTTTTTGTTGGTGTATCATGATGTTGCAGTACTAATAGGATAATTTGCGTTAGTTTATGTGAGGGTCCGAAGAAGAAACAAATGGAAATAGCTGGGTCTTAGAATTTGTGTAAGTTAATGGTCTTTTAGATAAGCTGTAGACTCTCGGTAAAAATTTCATCTTTTAGGTTGATTGCAGTTTTAGATGATTGGTTGATCTTGATGTGATTTTATAGCTCTATCTTTACCTTTTCAATTTCTATTCACCCGGATTGGTGAAGAGTATTAAAATGCTCTCTAAACTGCCGAATGATGATCGATGATTGACTGGGTTTGTGAGGTTAACGTGTTTTCTGGTCTATTTTTTTTTTATAGAATTTCTAGTAGTTTACACATGGCTAGTCATCTTCATGGCCGTGACCATGAACAAGAATCGGGTCGGATTCATGGGTCAATCGGGTCTTAAATCGTATCATTGGTCATGGTGATCGTATGCTCGCCAATCTAATGCTTTGTTACCAATAGGTTAGAGTAAATGGCTAGCAGACGCCGTGACGGGAGTGGCCATGAGAGTTGGGTCGGGTTCATGAGATTTCGGGAAATAATGAGATCCGGTGTTTATGGGTTGACGTCACTAGAACTGTCCTGCGCGTGTGATGAAGGACGATGTGAAAATTGGAACTAAAATGAGTTAAAAAAAAAAAAAAAAAATTATTCGGCAGGCAGGCAAAATTTTCTTAGGTCAAATATTTTAACCAATTCGAGGAAAATGCCATTTTTGGGTCTGGCAGAGTTTTTTTTTTTTTTTTTTTTTTGGAGTTGGAGGGGGAAGGGCAGAGAGGTCTTCCGAAGTACAAAAAGACTTTTTAAGCTTTGAATATAAAATTTTTCTCCGGAGGGTAAAGTTGGGAATATAATAATTTCTTGGTAGAGCAATAAACGCCCATATTTTTGGGTCGTTTAGTAATTTGAGCGCATGGTAGGAGATGATTGATGTGCTTAAAATAATATGGTTTGGAAATGATTGGTGGGTTGTATACTGACGGCATTTACTTTTGGCTTTTGGTTCAGCAATTTCACCACACGGCAAGTTGACCGAGCGGGCAGATGCCAACAAGGGGCCGAATACGCAAGCCGCTTGGGTTCGCAGTGCTGACCGAGCGGGCAAGAAGATCGCGGCCCAAGCAACAAGTTAACTCCGGTTTTTTATCCACTCACTCGTGGCCGCAAATTGGTCCACTCTTGAAAATATAAGCCCAATATCAGAATTAACCAAGCCCAAAAATTTGAAATTTACCCACTTTGGGTTTCGTTTATAAAATTTCTTTTTTTTTTTTATTTTTATTAAAAAAAAATATTCTACAGACCGAGCCATTGTAGTTTTTAAATATTTAGAAATGTTAATATAGTAATTTTATTTTATACTTCATTATTTGGCGCAATCTTTTTTTTTTCTTCTTTTCTTTTCCTGGAAATCAACTTATAAATTAGAAATAAAAACTTGGCAGCGGGTCAAAACCAATATAATAATTTGTTAATAATACCTTCACTGGATCCAATCTCAAAGTAGATCTGTACACAGAACAGAAGTCTCGTTTGACTTAAGAACCGTGTAGACCCGAGAGACGCGCCGTATCTGTCATCACTCTAATATGGAAATTAGTGTCGGTGGATCCCAATCCACCCAACAACACGCACGCCCTTCAAAGATTGCCGACAGCTAATTCGCAACAAATATTCGACTTATTTCTCGAAAACATTTTATTTTTATTTCTTAAATTTTTAACCATCTCTCGTATGAATTGTTTAATAAATTTTTAATCAAATTAATTAGTATTTAATTATTAATTTGTTAATGTCTTTATCTGAAATTAATAGTGATTAGGTGCATTAATATACGTCATAATGGCTGCGAGGTTACCGCATGATAAATCAACGGGAGTCAACACCAACAACAAAGGAAACGGTGAGTTTAAATGATAAAAAAAGGGAATGTGCTTAGAGCCGAGGGGAAAAGAGAGAAGTTGACACGTCATTATCCCGAACCTTCCTCTTTGCTGATTCCATACAGCACCGCAGCAACGTCCATGTTTACACCCGCGTTGATCTGACGGCTGAAAAATGCGGGAGCTTCATTAGTTCCATCATATCATAAAGTAAACGAAACAAAAAAAAAAAAAAATCCTAAAATAATGATTTCCACGTTAAATTAATGACAGGTAGAAGAAAAATTAATTTAAACAAATATTAATAATATATTAATTATTTTAGAGTAATTTTTTGGTTTTTTAAAAAATGATTATTTACAAATCTCTTAACGAACGGCTTAAAAGCAAACCGGAGTATTTTTGGTTCTCACTGTTTCACTCCCTTTGGGACTCTCTCTCTCTTCCTCCGCCTTCTGCTGCATCTTTATTCAGATTTCGGAGGATAAAATCTGTACGGGCTGATTATATTGCGCACAGAAGCTTCTGTACCAACCGCCGCTACCGAGCGTCTGAACAAATCTAGGCCTCTGCTTGATTCTCTTATTCCTTCTTCTCCGTCGAGAAAGCCAGATTTCGTTCGGATCTGGTTTTCGAGCGAAAATATATAACTCAACAGTTGCAGTGAAATGCGTGTAGATTTGCGTCTCGTGTTGCTGCCCTGAGGTGTCTTGTTTCGCAGCGTCTTATCGGCCGAATAATGGCGATATCTAGTCCCGTCACTCCCGGTCAGGTACTTGCTAAGAGGATTCGCTTTTGCTTTATGGCATCTTGAGCTTCTTTTGCTTTAGATCTTCTCTTGATTCCGTTGTGTTTTTGTTTGGTTTGTTGTCGTTGTTACTGTCAGTTCTGAATGTAATGTTTTTGTTTTTTTTTTGTTTTTAATGATTGTTTTGATTGATTCATGTGTGAATTTCCGTTTGGTTTTCTGTTTTGTTGTTACAATTATCCTTTTTTCTATAGATAATTCAAGTTTGTGTTTGACTCATCAGCCGCTAAATGTTGTGCGATTGCAGGTATCATTTTTGCTCGGAGTCGTGCCGATAATTGCAGCTTGGATTTACTCCGAATTTTTGGAGTACAAGAAAAATTGCAACTGCTCTAAAGCGTGAGTTTATAAGCTTGTATTTGGCTTTCGTTTTTTTCCTTTGTAAATGTTCATCCCACATTGTATACATGTGTTTTTGCTTGAATGTGTAAATTTTTTAAGGTTTATGGTATGTTAGTAGGCACTCTGATATCAATCTAGTTGAAGTGGGAAATGACACGATAAAAGAAGATGACAAAGCTGTTCTACTTGAGGGAGGAGGTCTTCATGCAGCTTCTCCCAGAGCCCGAAGTTCGTCCACCACGTCTCCTCTTATCAGGTTGCTAAGAAAAACTTATTAGCTTCTTTAAGTTTAGGACTGTTGATTAACTGATGCTTGCTTAAAGTTTGCCCGCTTATAGGTGGATTGAATCGTTTCAGGTTTCTTCTGATGGATGAGTCTTTCTTGATTGAAAATCGATTGACGCTTAGAGCTATGTGAGTACTGTGCTTAGTTGATTGGAAAAACAAGAGAGCTTTTTCCATCTATATATGAAAATTGGGACTTGTCAGTTTGATTGGCTTAATTTTACCTTTTCTTTTTGCTTGTGCAGAGCTGAATTTAGTGTCCTTTTGGCCTACTATTATATATGTGATCGAACAGATGTCTTTAATTCATCACAGAAGGTGAAATTTTTTTTATAACATTGTACTTTTTGATTGAAAGAATGAGATTATCTTTTTATTATTCATTTTGACTCGTCATGTGGGAATTATTTTATGTTCTTTATGGATTCTCTAATCACAAGATAGCTTGTGGGAAGTCCAAGATTTTAGGGAAAAAAATGTTGCATTAATATAAACCTTTTAGATTATGCCTTGAGAATTCTCCTAACATGTGCTTCAATTTGCTTCACTATATGTGTGTAAAGTATTCATGATCCTCCATTCTTGTTCCTGGCAGAACACTTATATATATTTTTAATCCAGTTCATGTATCTAACTGATGTAAAATATTTATGATGAACTAAAATGCCCTATTTTTTCTATCGTGCATAGAAAATTTGGATATTGGGCTCAAAGATTTGCCCTAAATTGTGAGTCAGGGATTATGTAAATAGTTCTAAAACGGGTGTTTACTTCATTTATTCATTAATTGCATA